TAATAAATAAATAAATAAATAAAATGAATGCAATTAAATGATGGGAAACTCAATGGTCATGAAACCTACGACCATTTATTATGGCTTATCGTTTCATATTCCGTGAAACCGCCGATGACTTAGTATATATATATGGGGAGGTCTTCAAGCATAGAGATGACAAATTCTCGGGAAAGGAAACTCGTATAAGAGAGGTGAAAGATGAGGATGATTTGGTGAAGCGCAACAAGTTTGATGCGTTTTTTAGAGTTTGTAGCTTAATGTGTAGTTTGGGGTTAAGAAGGAGAACTATTGTGAGAAAATGCGACGGTGGACGCTGTAATGAGAGTTGACGGTGCTCTATATCGTAGTTAGTTTGGCACCAATCGGGGAGACGCTAGCTACTTCAAAGATCGGTTTGGGCTACGCCATCTATTGTGAGTTTCACGTGATTTATTTTTAAAATGGTTGCATGCCTTATTTTTAATATGCTATATATGCGTGAAAAGTTCGATATTTTTATAATATGTGTTTTGAGTATTTGTATGTAGATGGGGATGTACTACGATATGATTTTGTAAAGACGAGCATGCTTTATGAGCTTGTCTAAGCCGTAAGTGCGGACATGCTGTGTGAGTTCGCCAGGTAATGCTGTGTGAGGTAGACATCTCCCACGACGTCGTTGCTTTGTGATGTAGACACGCACTATAATATCGTTATTTTGTAAAAATTGTTATTCTCATCAAGGCATGCTAATTTATGAAGCTTCGTGAAAATTGTTTATTATAAAAGTTGTTGTTCATGCATGAAAACCGTGGATTCACTGGGCCTAAGGCTCACCCAAAACTCTTTTAAAACTTTTTCACCCAGGCGGCTATTAGACTGGAAAGAAAAGTTGGATAAAGAGATAAATAAGGATTAGCATCAAAGAAGGACATGTGCAGATCAAGACATTGTTATATCGAACAAAGTATGTTCGTCAAGATTGTAATTTAGATGGTGATACAATTTGTAAGATTAGAAATTTTATTTCCGCTGCAATGTAAGTGTTTGATCTTGGGATACTAATTTTGATATATTTAAGTATTCGAAATTTTGGGATGTTACAATATATATATAGACTTGAGATCATGTGAGACCAGCCTGTTTTCGTGAGACCCGTGAGACCAGCATTTTACACTTGAAACTTCACAGCAAAAATGCTGTGAATGTGACTTTTTAAAACCTTCACAGTGTTTTTGCTGTGAAGGTTCGACTTTTTTAAAAACCTTCACAGTGTTTTTGCTGTGAAGTTTAC